AGCTACAGAACATCTTTATTATCCTTGCAGACAGTGAATAACAAGGCATTCATTTGAACTTAATTTTTTTTGGCAATAAGACTCAGGGAAAAAATAGGGATAAAAAAATTAGAGACGCCAGGGACAAGTTCTGCCTGTAAACACACACTCAGAGTTCTCAGTTCCTTCTTTGATTGGAATGGGGACAGGCATCTCTGAATTTTAAAGGACTGAATTATGCTTATCCTTCAACTGCATTGCTTTTCTTTGCTTTCCTGTTCTTTCCCTCCTTTCTTAGTTTATGTAGAGGTGGATAGTTTTTACCACCTTGTCCCAGCAATGAAGTAGTTTTCCCATTCCGTATTTAAAGAGATTATGCCATTTGTCTCCAATATCCAACATATGACAACTTGGTAAAGGCAGTTTAATAAAGAAGTGCTCTACTGACTGCTAAGTATTCCCATATTTGCAAGATCTGAGTCTTGGGAAGGCAGGGGGTTGATGGATGAAGTGAAACAAGTTTTGCAATATAATTCAGGTAATCAATTCTCCACCCAAAAAAAAAAGGAAGCATAACTCTTTAGCAGCTGGCAGCAGTCTCATAAATAAATACAAAAATTTATGGAAGCATAATGGCATCTGCAATGATGGAAGTTAGAGAGGAGATGCTGCTTCCAATGACACAGGGGAAAAAGAGGCTGCAACAGGAAATTGTATATCAAAATGAATTTAGAACGATTTTCATATGATTAAAATTACCTGGTGAAACTTATGTTTGATAAATTAGGAAGTACTTAATGAATGTTGTATTCCATCAGGAATTATTAACAATTCACTTCTGCAAGGATGAAACAGGAGGTTCATAATAAAGACGTGGAAGGAGGAAATGCGAATGTCCTCACACCAGAGTTTTCATCTCTGGGTGGCTCCATCAAATGCCCGACCTTGTTTGTTTTGGCAGCCTAGGATAAGATGTTTTAAATTGTGAGGATTAGACAGAAATGGCACTTGGACAAGTGCAGACTGACAGGAAGCTCATTAAAATGGATGGCAGTTTGCCTATCAGTTTCAATGAGCTCTAAACCATGACCTGTGTAAAGCAATGCTCAGCTCAATCTCTTGTGAGCAACCTGGCAGATACCTGGCAGATACCTTTGGGTTTTTTCTAGATGCACATACAAGTTTGATTCTGCTCCAGCTGAACTCAATGCCATTACTTGTGAGGGCTACAAGGTTCAGCATGATTTTATGTGCATCTGTGGAGCAGGGATGCAATAGCTTCATTGAATACAAAAATCCATGTTTTAGGGTAAAAGGGCAAATATATCTCATCTTGGAGAGATATATAATAGGAGAAATCATTATTGCCTGGCAATCCACAGGAGTGCTGCATGCCACAGACTTCACTTGGGATACAGTTATGTTTTCTCTTTCATACAGGCACAGATAAGTTGTGAAATGCAAGAAAAGGTGAGTTATGTTTCATATTTTTCTGAAAAGAAACTTTTGAGAAATAAATCTCCAAACATTACTTGTTTGTGATCTTTCTTCTGTGTCAGAAAAAGTCTACTTCATCCAGTAATTGCTGACTTGCATTTTAGTAGACAACTCAGATTTGATACTGAAATAAACCTCTCCTAAACCAAAGAAAAAAATGCCATTCCTGACTCCATAAACATCTCTTCTTATGGCTTGATCCAAAGACTATAAAATCAAGGAAAGACTCAATCTTTAGTGCCAGATATCATAGTTCTGACTTGCAAGCCCATTGTTTTTCCAGAAGAGAGAACCAAATTACAGTATTTGTTGCTTGGTTACAGCCCCTCCAACCCTCTTGGAATTCATGGGTTTATAACACCTTAGCAAACCAGACATATATTGTTTTCACTTCAATTATTTATGCAGCTAGTTGTTGATTCCTTTTTGTCTGGTGACCCTGATGAAATGTTTCACTAACTCTGTTCTCCTTCTGTCCAAGGCTTTATTCCACTGTACTTGGCTTTTCCTTGTGAATGCTCTCCAAGTTGAATCAGTGGGAGTCGAATAGTTTGCTGGAATGGGCAAGACAAAAAGAAATGTGTTGCCTAGGTAACTCAGCAAAATAACCAGTTAGTTTGTGCAAGTGTCCCTGCTTATCTGCTGAGACACAGAGGAGCAATGTGCATTTAACACTGTGTTCATTTCCTAGTGCTTCCTGTGAATATCCATGCAGATTGTACCAATGAAATATCCTGAGAAATTTTCTCTTTCTAACTGATCCATCCAACATGAATGCCATGGATTCCTGGATATAGTCAAACCAGGTAAGATCAATATAGAAATTAATTTTCTGCCGTTTCTAAGAAGTTGTTAAGTTTTCAGATCTGTTTTTACTGGTGGCATCAGCCTAAATGGTTTGGTATCACCAATAAGTATCAAGTTAACACTCAGTAAAGAAAGGATATTATATAAAGAATATGAAACTACAATAGCAAACAGATTTTTCCAAGCTGCTGTATCCCTGAATCAGAAAAATGTTATGATAGAGATGTGTCTTTTAAGTATTCTTTAACAATGATTAGCATAACGTCAGCTGGGAGAAACTCAGCCATGAAATGCAGACTTTCAAGCCAGACTCTTCATCTAGTCAGTGCCTGTGAATCCTGTGTGAGTGCTGACCCTGGTCACAGGGACAGAATTTTTGCTGGCAACTACCACAGTGCTAGGATTTCATGGTCTGAGCATTTCAGTTATTTCTGTATCAAAGGAGGTGGGATAATATTATTTCCTTTCTTCCTACTCTTTGTCTGTCTGCTCTGTTCAATTAAGAGCACAAACCCTCTGGAGCAAGCTCTATTTTCCTGCCTTTCTATGGTGCCCAGAACAACAGGGCCTCTTGTGGCCAACACCAGTCTGAATAATTGGAATTGTTTCTGTCATTAATCAGACCTCAGGATGAGCTGTATTCTGCCCAGTTCATACATATTTCATGCACCTATAGGACATGCAGAGAACCATCTGATCTGTTGAATGCAGATGTAAGAGACACGTGGTTAAGGCTGATGCCCACCCTGGATTTGCCCTGCTCAGCCAGCTAAAAGACTGGTCAAAATTAAGTGGAAACAACTATTTCTTTCTTGCAGAGGTGGGACATGCTGCTGAATTTCTTGGCAGAAACCTTTTTTTATGGGCAGGTTGTAAAGATGTGAAAAATAGTGTTTATAATGGAAAGGCTGACACCATGTAAAATATGTCATTTCTCTGAAATAGCACAGAGAGAATTTTTCATCGGCTTTATGAGGAATGCATTTGCCATAGAAGATCTGAAGTCCATTAGGCAGTGATGGGGACCGATACCTTCATTTTATAGAGAGAGGAAAAATGGTGAGTAGAAAGGCCCCAAATTACAGTCTTGTTTGATTTAGATATTAATTTTTTTATTCTTAGCAGATAGAGAAAGGATATGTTCAAGTGACCTGATGAATCTCTTAATACCCCATCCTCTGCCCACCCCATAATAAACTCAGTTCTTACCATCTAAAGATTTAATGAAACCTGTGTGGAATTACTACTTTGTTAAATTTCACATAATGAGCTGTCAATTCAATATTTGGAACCACAAAATACCTTTGCGTAAGAGCTGAAATTCTCTAATAACCTTTACTCTCCTGTATTTTACTGGCACTGTGAAGTTTGCCAGCAGAATTTCTAAGAGAATGTTTTTGGAGCCTTCAGCCACTGCTGGGAAAAGCACATGCCTTTCTATACAGAAAGATTTTATAATGATCAGGCTTTGTAATGACCAAGAAGAAGAGAAAAGAGAAATATGAAGGAAAGGAAGCATAAGGAGTAATTTTTCTGTGCAGAAATTGGAGAGGTAAGAAGTGTGAACCATAGAGGTTTGTGGTTATATGGTGTTTCCAGCTGAATATCTTTGGGCAGAGGGAACTGTGTACTTTTTTTCCACATTGATTTTAATCCATTTATCCCCTTTTCTTTCAGTACAGAGCCCAGAAGCTCAAGTGAAGAAGGAGCTATGCCTGTGGTGTGGGAGATGCAGATCAATAGGGCATGATTGAGTGCTCTACTATAACCTTACACTGAAACCTGGTTCCTATAACTACTGTTGGAGTTTAAAAGCCATCTATAATCTTAAATTAACCAGTGAACGGCATTGGGCTGCTGCAATTCCATCAGTGGCACCCTGCCAGCATCTGCACTTTGTCTGAGTGAACCAACCAAACATTACATCAAACACATTTTGAAGGCAATAGCTTCACTGGACTGATTCTCAGTCAGAACCTACAGCTTTAATGCTTTAAGAAAAATACAATATAAAAACAGACAGAAAACTGACCTGTCAGTTCCCACCAAGAGAAGAGTCTCTTGTTTTCATTCCCAGCTGCAAATCGAAGAAGGAAGCCTGGAAGATTGTTTCTAAAATGGCTGAGCACGTTCAAATGAGGCAAAGACATTCAACAGAGCGAAGAGCTGCTCATGGAGAACTTGAATGTTACGTGAAATGTGAGGCTCTTTAAGTATTTTCTTTTCATCCAAAGTTCTTGGATAAGTTCAAAAGGCATTTAACAAGCCCTTAATGAAGCAGGAGCTCATTTAGGCAAAGAAAATATTAACTTCAAATGGGCAAAAACTGTGAAAGCAATTGAGGAAAGTGAAGTCGCTGGATTGAGCAGACCAGAGATTCATCCAATGATCACGTATCTTGCTACAGGTATCACCAACCTATCTTTAGGCACCTTCTGGAAAGACTGTTCATTGATACCAGCTCGATCAGCCCAGGAATTTGTTTGATGTGCTTAAGAGATTGGTAACAATAGCTCCTAACGTGACTGCGTTGCGAGGTGACAGTGTTTCCTTGGAGACAGTGAATCCATACAGCCCCAGCCAGGATCCTTGCAGGTTACCCCTCTTCAGAGGCTGTAGAACTCCCTCTCTCTGCAGGGCCAGAGATGGGAAGATAAGCTTTGGCTGTAGACAAATAGCCTTATGCAAGATGTGAGGATTTTATGCACCAGCGAGACATGTCTGAAAGGTAGGAGGGTGAAAGGAGAGTCGTACGTGTAGTCATTGCACAGCTGGCTTGACATGCTTTGACAACAAAGATAATGTTACAGGATTGAGTATCTTTTTAAAATGTACCAGCCTGTATTGCCGATGGAGATTGTTGTGTAGAGAAAACAGGAATTAAAACAGGTTGTTTTTTTCTTGGTGTCGTTGGCTGATTACTGAGAGGCAAAAGTTGTCCCAACAAAAATGTCTCATTCGGTGTAAAAATGTGTGAAAGGCACATTGATTGAGATGTGGAATTTGTCTCATTGCAAGTTAGATCCATGAAGAGCTGCATGGAAAATGTTAGTTAATAAGCCTGAAATGTATAATTATGGTGATAGGACCTAATTATGTTAATTATGTCTTTTGGGGGGCAATTTTATGATGCATAAAGCAAGATAATTGATGCTACAGCTAACAGCAAGGATGCATTGTAGCCATAACTTACAGGTGTGTTTGTCACTAAATTGTGCTCAAAAGAACTGCTTCAAAATGTTGCAGAATGTCTCATAAAACTCCTATAAAAATAATTGAAAGGTAATAGAGCATGGAAACACTCTGTCCACGTCCTCTACTATTCCAAGTTCTGAGAGTTCTCATCATAAATGTTTGCATACAAGCAAAGCTGCTCCAGAGCAGTAAATTGTTTGCATTTGGAACTAAGCACAGCCCCAATTCTGAGTTTGGTGTCTTTTAAATACCTCCACAACTGTGTTTGGAAGTTACCCCCATTTATGTGGATCAGCTTTGGCATTGCCACTGACTGGGACAACATAAAAAACTGTGTGTTTGTATCCTGCAAGGAAACTGCTACTTGTGCAAGTGGTTTGGGCAGATCCAGGACCAGTTCTCAGAGCCTTTGCAAAATCAGCAGCTCTGACCTAGTGATAATAACTTTTCACTTTGGGAAGATTTATTGTTCTTTTCTTCGTTTCTTTGGTTTGGGATTTTTTTTTTTCTTTTTCTTAAAGATGAGCTTAAAACACATTTGATTTGATTCTTTTAGAATGGTCCATGATTTTCACTTCCATAGTAGCAGAAATGAAGGAAGTTGGAGCACTTTGCCGTTAAATAACAACCTGACCAGATTTCCACTGAGATCAACCACATGGGAGCACAGGTCTTTGCATCACATGTGGTCTGTGATTTGGTGGGATGTAAAGCTGTAGTGAGCACCACAGGAATTCTGACTCTAGATATGTGAAGAGTTAGTATAAATAGCCCTACTACTTGTTCCCAGATCTTTTATCAAGGGCATTTCAGATCTCTGGGGAAAGCAGCTGTGGTTCAGTGGAAGCTAAGTCTGCTTGAGGCTGCTGATTCATGAACAGCAGCTGGGAATAAGACTATGGGAAGCTAGACCAGACCCCAAAACTACTCAAAATGCTGGGACAAAAGCCTTTCAAATCCCAACTGCAAGACTTTGCTATAACCTTCTTCATCTGTATTCCTCTTCCACTGAGCTTTGCATTTTCTGTGAGGCAGAGCTGAACCTGTGCTGTAGACTCAGATGTTTGTTTAGCAAGACTGTCATTTTATGAGGAGAAAAGAATCTTTGACTGACAGTCCTTTCTTAACAGCCAAATATCTAAAATATACACAGGAGGAATTTTTCTCTCAGTTTTTCTCTCAGAACGTCTTTCACTGGTGTAGGTTCAGAAGTAGCTCAGCTAGAGCTCTTCAAAGTATTTCATGAGCTTTTAATGTGTTCTACCCTTAAAGTCAGCTGGACTCAGATGTACTTGCAGTGCAGTTAGGAAACTTACAGTATTTTAGGGTCTATGAAAATTTGGCCAAGATGTCAGTGGGAGGAGAAGCATTTCACAGACACACAACTGACACTGGCATCTTGATAAAGTGTGACTTTGGTCAGGGAGCTCTACAGCAGTGCATGATTTTCCCAGATATGGCCTGATGTCTCATCAGTCATGTTTTGAAAAATGCAGTAGCTGTTCTGTACTCATTGCTGACAGTTTGCAAAACATTTCAGCCACTTAATTGCCCACTGGGACTTCCCCTGAGAATACATGAGACACATTGGGTTAGTCACAAGTACTTTCACTTGTCCCTCAGTCCATGCTACCTCTAAGCAGCTCATACGGAGCACTCTAGATTTCAAGGTGCTGGCAAAGAATTGTTCAGTGCAATTTTGTGTTTGTTTGTTTAATTATTTAGACGAAATTACTCTTTTATATCTCTCAATGATGCTACATGGAACAGCATGATTTCCCTGAGCATTTTGAAGTGATCTGGAGTTCTTCTATTTCAAAACACTCTTTAGGCATTTAAAGTGGGATTCTTCTTGTGAAACTTCAGATGCCTTTAAGTTTTGTCCACTCTCAGGAAAGCCTGTGGGCCCCTGTGGATGCTGATTCACTCCAGCTGAAAATAAAAGGCATCAAGGCTGGGTTGAGTGAGTGGGTGTCTGGACATGCCTACTCGTCTCCACTGACTGAAGAGAGAACTCAGAAAATTTGATGAGCTTGGCTTTGCAGCCTGGCAACTTCTGCAAGGTGGAAGAAATCATACTTGAACCAGATGGAGGGTTTAGATGTTTGATTTTTGACTAGAGTACTCTGAAATTTTGTAGCTGGATTTGCTAGCCATGGCAAAGCTGCAGCTGTGATATGAACAGGACTGAGGGCCAACCTCAGAAATTAGAAGTCACACACAGTATTTTTTTACCCCATTATCATTTTAAGTTTCCTTTCCAGTCCTGCCTTGTAGGATTCTTAATCTAGTCTAGTATCTCTACTTAAAAGATATAGATACTCCCCCTCACCCCCCAAAAAGAGAGAGAATGGAGGAATGCTATTGCCACAGAGGGTTTCCATTAGTGAAATTAATTCTTCTCTCATAAGAATTTAGGTCTATGATTTATGATAACCACCAATTTCTCACTGCAGGCAAAGTGAGAGGAAATGACTCAGCCTGGACAGACATCATGAATCTAATTTTTTTTTCCCTTAATGCTTGACATAATCTAGTGTGCTGCTCCCAGAGGTGTCATTGGAGATTCATATCCAGCCGAAGGGCCTCACAATCAAGGCAGGAAATTTTGTTCCTTTCATGTATTGTGTGATCTGTAATTGCCTGGAATTGCATCCTGCCTCATTCATTGCCATTTCTTTTGCATCAATTTTGCAGCAAAATAGGAAGGAAAACAAAGCCAGGGAGAGAAAAGCAGAGTGGCACTTGCTCCTCCAGAAAAATCTTCTTGACATAATGTTGGGGTCCAGCTGGTGCTTATTAAACTCAGGCAGTTTGGAGATGAAAAATGCTTCCTTCTGTCACTCGTTCCCATAGAAATCTCACTACCCACCTGATTGGAGAAATCCTATCTAGCACATATTGATTCTGGAACTTTATGTTTTCTTTTCTATCACCGATACAGAACTTTGTGAGTGGGTTTGTGCCAGGAGATCAGAATAGTTATCATGTTAAATGGTTCAGCTAAAATGTTTTATCCCACATTCCAAGGGACTGGGAGTGTATATTCCTGTCTGAGCAGAGGAGGCAGTATCTAGCTGAGGGGAAGACAGGTTTTGAAAAGTCTTGCAGTTATAAATAGTCATTTGAATATAGCCTAAAAAAATCACTTCTAAACTGAGAAGAATAAGATTTTTTTCTTAAATATAAAAGAATTTCTACATATTTCATTGGTATGACCTCATTTAACATTGAAGGAAGCAGAAGCAAAACAAATACCAAGATAGGGCTAAGCAAGAGTTCTCAGCGTTTTTATTTTCTGTTTGTTTGGGGGTTTTTAATACTGACCAAATGTAAATCCTCTCTTCACAGGGTTGCTGTGTGTGTGAACTCCTGTTGCCCTGTAACACACACACATGAAAATGGTCTGTTTGCCTCGAGATGACTTTGAAAAATGTCTAAGTAAATAGCTGTTATTTTCTGAAATGCTCACTCAGCTTCCTTGAAGTCACCTCTGGTTTATTGGGGCTGGTTGGATCCCATTAAAAAACCACCATAAAGCATGAAGGGAGGAGGAGATCTGCATGTCAGGGCTGGTCTGTGCAGGCTGTAAGCACTCTCAGGCCAAAGCCAGCAGAGATGTAATACTGGGGTTTGCTGGTGTTTAAAACAGGCAACACAATCATAGTAAGGTCAACAGTTCATGTCTCTTCATGAATATTTGCCAATAATCTCCTAATTGTATGTTTTAAATGATGTTCTATGTGGCTTGTCTGTTACCCTCAGCATGAAACTTTCTTTGCCTTCCCCCCCCAAACCATTTTAAAGCTGCATTTTTTTCTCCATTTCTGCTCCTGACTACAGTTGTTTTAGTGCTGCTTACTGACAGCTGATACTTTCTGGCAAGCTCTCAGCAAGCCTGTACAGTAAAAGACAAATTACAGTGCTGTATGCACACACTTACTAAATTAATTTTGGGTTTTTAAGTATTCCATAGTAAATTTCTAAATTGCAGCTGCCATGCTGCAAATTCCTCAGTCCCTCTGAAGCACAGTGGGAGAAATTGCAGCACTTGGGGTATGTAAAATGTGCTTTTGGAAGTGTTCTTGGGCAATGAACTAGCAAAGCACACAAGCACATGACTTCAAGTTGAAAAGGTTGGACTTGATGATCTTGGAGGTCTTTTCCAACCTTAACAATTCAAAGACTCTATTGAAGATTTGATCCTTGAGATCCTAAAACACACTAAGGGATGAAAATAAATATCCTAAAATTAGTAAAATAATACATTAAAATGTATATAAATGGGATTAAAATAAATAATTGAGGTACCTTTTCATCCAACCCGGATCTATAAGAACAAGGATTATACAGGGTAAAAGGGGACACATCATGTTGCTGAACAAATTCAGTTCTTCATTTTCTGAAAAACTGAGTTTTTTTGAGTTTACTGCCAGTAAATTCCTCTTTCTAATGTTTAGACACATCTGTGAAACCATCTGACATGTAAGTAAGAGTACTCAGGTGAGAGGTGAGGGGTTTGCCTATGGTTTGACCTCAGGGTCATGTGGCTGTTGCCTGGTGGCAAGTCCTGCCCTGTTCTACTCACTATTTTCTGTTATTATAAAACAGTTTGTATTTCTCTGGGCAGAATCAATACTGGTTTAACATCTCCTCTCTAGTTCCTCAGGTCTGACTACAAGCAATCAGAAATTCTGTAAATCCTATTCATCCTGCTGCTCCATCCTAAGTGATACACACACAATTCCACCAATTTTATCACAAAGCAGAGGAATCCTCAGGCAGAACTGTGATTCCAAGCTGCCTGCCCCAGTAAGTGTTTGTCTTACCAGTCTGATTACAGATTTATAGAAGAGAGACATGACAAAGAGTAGCTAAGGCAGAAATCTTGTCCTCAGCTTTGAAGCTGATGATGTTTACCTGCTTTTATCTTCCAAAGCTAAGGTAGATTACAAATAAGATTCTATGATATGGTGTCAACTGTGGCAAAGGATTTGACTCAGCCTTTGAGCACTATGCACCAAACTAGATGAAATGAGCAAGTGTATAATAAACCCCATAAAGGCTCTGTCCAATATTTAAGCCAATTTGTAGGATTAAACCAGAATGGGCTGTGGCAAACTACACTTACGTGTGAATTCCCACAGCATGTACCAGCTGCTGGATGTGGCTCTAACTGGAGGGATTTCTACTGTAAAAGGCTACAAATATTAGAAAATACAGTATCAGAAACTGAAGAACTCTTACTGATTCTTTTATATCTTTATTTTACATATTCAAGCTTCCTTCTGATCCCTTCAAGTACCTTGGCTGGTGTGACATAGAAGAGCACAATGTTCGAGGAAATCAGCTTCATTGTCCCCGAGTGAGAGAAGGTGAAGGTCAAAAAGTCACATTCTCATCTAAGCCTTAACTCTATTTATTCAAACAGTACATCCTTAAATGTTCTGAGCTTAAATTATGGAGTTTGCCATTCTTTTGAAAAGGGGCAGGATTTCATCCCTATTGTACATGCTTGCCCTGTTTTTAATCACTAGGAAATTATCCTTTGTAATTTGGAAAATGGGAAACAACTGCCAGAACTGCAAATTGAAAAATTTTAGTATTAATATGGTGTTGATGACTTCTCTCAGAAGTTCATTAACATTTCAGTGTTGTTCAGAATGCAGCAGCCACATGCCAAACAAGAAACCAAGAGTGAAAAATCCCACCCTACAACACTGGCACATATGTATTGTATCTTAAGGCTGAATTGGCCTGATTACAATCTATACACACACTCATAAGCAGAGAATGAAAGGTGAATTTTAAAATCCAGTATTTGCATGTTTGGGATTGAACAGTGGAAAAAATTCCACCCTGTCCTTGCTTTAGTTAGGAACTTGAAGATGTCAATAGCTCTATGTATACACCTTAAGACTTTAAGTCTTCAGTGTGTGTTGATCTTAATACCAATGAGGTTTTGAGTCTGGCTATTGATCCCAGTTGCAGCTGTCAGCAGTCTGGAAGTTGCAAACATCTTTTTTTCTCAGGACAATAAAAGGCTAACTCATAGCATGTGAAGGAATATATAGAAACAGGGTTTTAGAGCTCAGATCCTGATGAACCATTTAGAAAAACCTTTTATTCTGAGCTGTAGAAGAAATGTCATTAACCAACCATGTACCAAATCATCCCAACCTCAGATTGCTTCCTGAATTATGGGTTAGGCAATGGTAGAAAAATCTTCACATTAATTTATATCTTAGAAGCCTGGAAACATACACACCTATAATATTATATATATTTCTTCATTACAGATCTCTTCCCAGCCATATATATAATCTTTCAGCAAGTAACCAAGTACCAGTTCCATATTACGTCCACTACTGTAAATCTTTCTCTCTGACCAGGGCCCTCAGAAGAAGAGCTGTTTTTCAGAAGAGAAGAACATACTTTGAAAAAAAGAAAACAAGTAACTGACACAGAGAAATGGGAAAAGAGACTGCAAGAGAACTGGGAAAACTGTGCTGTAAAACTTTCTCATTCACATTTTGTTCTGTAGTTGTAAATAACCCAAATAATAATGTACTGCTGCTCACTGCAGTTAGCAGGTTTAAAGCTCTGGTTGCACCCTGATATTGTAAAGCAGAAGGGTTTTACAAGGGAAGAAGTACTGGAATATACTGTTATTTGGGTTGAGACCCAAAAGAGCAAACTCCTGTGTTGTAACAGGGCTTCATTTGAGCAACCTGCTCTGGTTGAAAAGTGTCCCTGCACATGGCAGGAGGTTGGAAAGAGATGAGCTTTAATGTCCCTTCCAACCCAACCCATTCTGTGATGATACTATGAATATTAATATCTGGCTGCTGCACAACACTTTTGTTCCAGATGAGTTTAGAAGCCAAACCAAAAGCCTTGATCACTTAGTCCTGCTTTCTCCACCCAGAACACACACACTGGCATCCCCACTCAAAGATTAGGAGGGGCTGGACAGTAAAATTCATGCTTAAGAGACAGTTTCTTTCTTCTTTACTTTCACAGAACTCTCTAGTCCATCACTAGAATTCTGAGGTGTTTTGTGCAATTAACTCCACCAATTGTTCTAAGAGCAGCATCAAAACATAGATTCACCTTTTAACTAATTCTGACATTGAAAATATTTAATGATACAGTTCTTAGAAAACAAGTAAGTGATTTCTCTTATCCTTCCCAGGAGCTGAACCTTTCATTCCAGGATCTGGGTGATCCTTACCAGTTGGAAAACTTCAAAAGGATCCTCCGAAGATTAATTCGGGTGGAAAAGCTTTGGTTGGTGGACAATTCTTTAACAGATCTAAGTGCCATAAGGTTGCCAAGGTAGATAAAATGTCCTGTTTCTATTTTTATGCAATATCATAGTGTGCTGGTTTGAAAGCAAACCA